ATATGCAATGCATCTAATTCCATTTTTGCTTCTGATTGACGGGACACTCTTATTCATCTTTTTGTTGAGATGTTAATGAGGCCCCATCATTGAACCACCACCAAAGACTCAAATATGAAGTTGAAGTTCATGATCATCGACAATGCATGCAATCCTAGTGTAGCTCCGCCCATGCGTGCTACCATTTCCAAGGGGCATCACTTCAACAGTGCATGCAACCATCCACATACCATCGTTACTTGTGCTACCATCTCCAAGTTGAAGTTGCTAGCCCTCTTGATATGCTGGACGAAATGATAATCAACAATATGCTAAAGAGAAGTGTTATGCACACGACATATGTATGATTGAACAAGTCGCCAGCCACTGGATTGTTATGTCGTTCGTAAATTATGCACTTGTATCGTGCATCCGCAGTTTCGTGCGCTAAATCATCGACGGGGAAGACAGAGTATATCCAACAAAGAGGAAAGGAGTGAGCAATGTGATAGTTGCGCTTTGGAGGGGGGGGGGTGAAGGCTAGGTTTTGACTATGGATAACTAAATGATTGTGTATGTACAAATTGGAAAAGTTATACGGAGCGCTAAGTTTGTCGCAAGTTGGTAGTTACAGACCATTTGTCACGTCAAAAAATATGGTTCAGGCTTTGCTAATGGTATTAATAGGTGTGTTAGGATCTAAGTCAAGGTAACGGGGTGTGTCAGGACGTAAGTTGAGGTGATTCCGCGCGTCCTCCTCCTACCATCGTTACTTGTCACCGCCGCAATCATCCATTTAAGCCCCTTGATGTGCAACAACCCTGACGATCACCCACAGCCCCCGATCCGCACCTATCAGACTGTTTTCTCGCCTCTGCCTAGGACTCCGTAGCTTGTTGTTGGTCGTAGCAGCGTCCCCTTATCCGACGAGGTCCTAGCTCGACCTTGCCGTGGTGGCCGCTTGCCATGTTGCCTCCAGCTTGGGTCTCTGGCAATGTAAAAAAATGACTACGCGCAAAAATTTTGCAGGTGCCTGATATCTAGCAAACATGCATATAAAAGACGTAGAAGTCCTCTTTCATAATATGAAAGGTCGTCAATGGAAGTTCAATTACATTCTCATTCCCTTTAACAAATACTATTGTGAAAATATCACAGCTGGTGAAGTTCGGTTGTAGCGTCACGGTTCTTAATAGATTGGTCATAACTCCCCTAAAAAAAGATCGATCAGAACAATAGTTAGCATCACCCTATATGCCACAAAGGTGACCTAACCTTTTTATTCCTGTATCTATACCCTTGTATAGTGGCCTCCTTTGGTTCATAGGGTAGAAAAATCATAAAAATAGGAAAGTCACAGGAAATGAGATGACATGTATCTAAAATTCTATGAATAGAAATATGAAAGAAGATGCCCTATACTATAAGATTCCTACAAACCAAAGAAGGCCTAACTTTGAATATCAGCCGTTGGATATGCTCCATCGAATGGTTGAGAGATGGCAAATCCAAACAAATATCATCCTTTGGATAAAGTTTTCATCTCACAGGATTCTGCCATGTGGCTTGTTAATTGAATCCCCACTATCGTCTCATATTATTCTAGAGGCATCTCTTTCCCATGCCAAAAATCTGATTCTCCACTAAAAAGAAGCAACAGGACAATCTAGATTCTATAGAGTTGGGCCCTGACTAGTACTTTTTCCGTCTGAAAAACCTTATTCTTTGAATGGACGTATTTAATAATAAAAAATCAGAAGAATAAATTTTTTCGAACGGAGGAAGTATGTTTGTACGGAAGAAAATAAAATGTCGAGAATGCATTTCCCCTGCTATTATATATTTCCTGACGTGCACATCTAATTTAACAGTACCGATGAAGTACGTACTCGTATGTGCTAGAGTACACACCCCACGCACGTCTCAGCTCTGAAAGATTTGGTGCGATCAAATATCTTTTCAGACTCTAGAACCTTCCAGGCCCTTCCTGCCCCACGCTCACGCCGCCGTCCAACTCTGGTGTCAGGATTAAATTAATGGATACATCGCCGACTCCGGCCACCGCCCTCGCGGGCAAGCAGCGGCGCGCCGCCACGCGCGCCTTATGGCGTGACAGGTGACGCCGCACCACACGTTCCCCGCCGGTCGACCGCGCTACGTACGACGGAAAATATCCAGTCGAACTATCTGCCAAAATAATATAATATCCGAGCTCGATCTAATCCGTCACGTCACGGACGTCGCGGTGGCCTCCGACGATTGGTCCGCAGACGCCAGAGGTCGGCCAGCCCCCACCAACTTGGCACACACGTATGCGTATGCTACGCCGCAGCAACACGCACGCCACCGCCTCCTCCAGCCCACACAACCTATACATAACTGCGGCCGCCCATGAGAGTATCCATGTTGTACAAGGCTGAAGAAGAGGGCACAATAAAAAGAGTCTGTGTCTGCCAAAAAGCTCCAAGCATCTCACATTTATTCTTTGCGGATGACTCACTTATCTTATGTAGAGCTAAGGAAAATGATATCATGAAGTTGAAGGAAATATTGTCCACATATGAGTCTCTCTCGGGCCAAACTATAAACAAGGGCAAAACAACAATCCTATTCAGCGAAAATACGACCGAACAGTGCAGGAAGGAAATCAAGGATGCATTAGGAATATGGAGTGAGACAACAAACGAGCAATATCTTGGGCTACCAGTGCACATTGGAAAATCAAAAGTGAAAATTTTCAGTTTTCTGAAAGATAGAATATGGAAGAAGATACAGGGATGGAAAGAAAAGATGTTGTCTCGTGCCGGAAAAGAGATTCTCATCAAAGCGGTAGCTCAAGCAATACCAACATATACAATGAGCTGCTTTGAGATAACTAGAACAATTTGTGAGCAAATTTCGTCTCTAATTGGCAGATATTGGTGGAGCAATCAGGAGAAGGACAATAAAATTCATTGGTTAAGTTGGGACAAATTAACTAGGCCAAAGGGAGAAGGCGGACTGGGATTTAGGGACTGCTATGCTTTTAACATAGCCATGCTGGCCAGGCAGGGTTGGAGACTTTTAAACAACCCAAACTCTTTGTGTGGCCAGGTTCTCAAAGCTCGCTATTTCCCGGATGGAAAAGTGTTGGAAGCAAAGGCAAGGCAGGGAATGTCTTATACATGGCGGAGTATTTTGAAAGGCATCAACCTGCTGAAAAAGGGCCTAATTTGGAGAATTGGAGATGGCCAAAAGGTGAGCATCTGGCACGACCCATGGATTCCTAGAAACTTTACTAGAAAATCATGCACTCCCAAAAGCAATAGCCCTCTGAATCTAGTAGCTGAATTAATTAACCCGGAGACTGGAAGTTGGAACAGGGATATTCTGGAAAGGAATTTTTGGGAGGAAGACGTCAAGGCTATTTTAAGTATCCCAATTAGTATAGACTATGATGATGAACCTGCTTGGCATGTGGATACAAAAGGCTTGTTTTCAGTAAAGACGGCATATCATGTCTATGTGGAGGAAGAGAGGAGGAGAAGCCACAAAGGGGTAGCAGGACCATCTACGCAAAATGTTGAACATGAAGTAAACTGGAAAAAGATTTGGAAGTTAAAGTGCCCAAATCATATAAAGCACTTCATTTGGAGATTAGGCCACGACTCTTTGGCTTTGAGCAACAATTTGAGAAGAAGAGGAGTGGAGGTAGACCCTGATTGCATAATCTGTAAGCGAACCTATGAAGATGGTGGCCATCTTTTCCTCAAATGCAAAAGAGTAGCTCAAATATGGGAAATGCTTGGAATGGAAAGCATAAGAAGGAGGCTGGTAAAGAGACAAACTGCTGCAGATTTTATAAATGATATCTTGAAGTTAGAAAAAGAAGATAATATCAAGGTGATTGTACTCTTGTGGCAGCTGTGGAATGAGCGGAACAACATAAGAGAGGAAGGTAAAATACGAAGTAATGATGATATAGTTTACACTGTCACTAAACGGACGAATGAATATTATCAAGCTTTCCTGAAGGAAAAGGGTCTCAAGAAAACAATGCAAGAAGGTTGGAAGCCGCCTCAACACGGAGAGCTAAAAATGAACATTGATGGAGCTTTTCAGCCTCAAACAAATAGTGGCGGCTGGGGGGCTGTTATTCGGGATCATAATGGAGTAGTCCAAGCATGTGGAGCAGGAAGATTGGAGAACCTTGCAAATCCTCTTCATGCAGAAGCGTTGGCTGCTCTTTATGGTGCAAAGCTGGCTGCATCCAAGGGAATCACTGCCCTCTGCTTTGAAACTGATTCCATGCTTTTAAAACAAGGGGCAGAGCAGGAAGAACAAGACCGATCGATTGTCTACAGAGTGCTAGCGGAGCTCAAGGATTTCCTGAGCAAAAACTTTTATCAGACCACCTTTAGCTTTGCTAGTAGGAATTGTAATAATTTAGCTCATGTACTTGCACACAAAGGATGTTCTATGAACCTGTATGATGAGCTAAATGCAGACAATGTAACTGCTGATGTAAAAGCTTTAGTGGCGAGCGAGTCAGCTTCGTCCACGTAGTAATGCGGTTTTTGCATTTCCTTTCAAAAAAAAGAGTTCTCATCACAGATCAACGGCACAACAGAGCATCGATCGAATTACGGATCACAGCGGATCATCAAGACAAGCAGCAAATCCATGGGAGTGGGGATGAAGCGCGCGAGGGAGGAGGAGCCAGTTGTGTCTCTGGCGCTGTCGCTCAGCACGGACTCTCCGACGACGTCCAGCACGACGTCGGACAACTCGACCGGTGTCCCGGCGGCGGCCGCCAGGAAGAGGACGCGGCGGGGGAGAGTTGTGTCCACGTCTGGGGAAGGGGAGTTCGTCTGCAAGACTTGCGGCCGGGCCTTCGAGACGTTCCAGGCGCTGGGCGAGCACCGGACCAGCCATCTGCGCGGCCGCCACGGGCTGGAGCTCGGTGTCGGCGTCGCCAGGGCCATCAAGGAGCGGAAGCGGCAGGAGGACCAGCAGCACGACTGCCACATCTGCGGCCTCGGCTTCGAGACGGGCCAGGCGCTCGGCGGCCACATGCGCCGGCACCGCGAGGAGATGGCGGTCCGCAGCGGCAGCGCCATCGACCGGTGGGTCGCGCTGACGGATCAGGAGGCTAGGCACCAGGACGGCGTCTTGCTGGAGCTGTTCGTCTAGTTAGCTAGCTCGATCTCTCTGCTTGCTAATTCAGGACTTGTACAGATCTTCAGAATGATACGTTAGGTTAGTTGTGTCTTCAGAATGAGATAGCTTAATTGTCCGATCGACTGGGGAGTATAGTATATATTTTTGCGGGGCCATCTTGTATATGATCACAGTTCACAAGTCCAATCCAGAGCCTAAATTTGTACTCCAAATTCTGCAATATAAAGCTGCCTTTACAACTTAAGATCGTCGAGACGTTAACAGTATACTGGTGTCCGGAATATCAAGTGGTTTGAGATCTAGAAACCACGATCCTACTCCCTCGCAAAAAAGAAAAGAAAAAAAGAAACCACGATCCTACTACCTGTGTTTTATTCGTGCTCCATCTGTTCGAAAAGAGGTGCCATACCGTTTCAAAAAAGAAAAAAAAACAGCTGCAATAAGTCTATATCCTGACAGAGTGACACATCGAGAGAGATATGAGCACACTATTGACAAATGTCGACATTGTACAAGTGGAGAAGGAAGTGAGAATCGAGAAAGATGCTATAAATATCGAGTAAGATATAGTCACTTCTGAATATCGATTAATGTTTATCTGATCGATACACTCCACTCCAGAAAGCAGACATAGTTAAACGTAAGGCATGACGGTGACTAGTAGGAATATCAAGCAACTCTAACCGATCACAATACTTAACACCTACTAATAAGCGACATTTTCAGATCAGATTTATAGATCATATTGATTTTAGCTTTTATGCTTCAACCAGACAAGAATAGCTAGCAACATTTTAAATCCGTATTTTTGAAATCGTTAGACAATTTAAAATCATTTTCAATATATAAGATGGTCGTGGATTTGCTACCCACTGCGAGTGATTCACACATGTCCATGTCCAGGATGAGAAACAATTATGTAATTTGAATGTAAACCATGACACTTATTTTGGAATGGATGGAACGGTTTAACTACCACTAAAATTGCTCTTAATAAATCCTTATCAACGCATTTAAAAAGGAAGGCTAGTGGGATGCCTTCACGTGGAAAAGTATAAAACAGAGGCGTACGTTCTAACACGTCTACGTACCTACACGGAGAACAGCTAGCACACGCTTTGTGCCTTTTGTCTGCATCGATCGATCGTGTGATAGATGCTTCATGTTGCTCACCCGACGTATGTCCATCACTGGCACACGGCCGAGGCTGACCGGTGAGACATGCTGTTGCTTCTGGGCAAGTTGGGTGGGAATCGACGACGCGTCCTCGCTACCACGTAAACCGAGGCAGAGATCATCTGAACTGACGATCGATGAGCTGTGTACGTACGTCAATGGGCAACGAATGTCTTACTAGTAGTATCATACCTGTCTTTGTTTTAGAAAATTATTGTAAGTACCATACCTGATCCTCAAAACGAAAAAGAATTAGTACCATAGTACCTGTCATGTGAAACCTTAATTACATGCACACGGAACACGCTCGCACACACGTGCACGCACCACTTTCCTGGATGTTTACAAGAATGAACGAATGAATGAATGCAGAATGTATTTTGAGCGAGCGCGTGGCGCACGGGGAAAATTCCGCAAGACATACAAGTAAACAAGCCGACGACCAAGCCATTGCTTCCATACCCGGCCTGGAGTAGACGACCGACCGACCAAAAAAAGCAAGCCGAATCAGGTAAGGTTGGACCGTTTATACAGTAATACTAGTCTGGTTCGCGATGCCCATTCCCGTCTCCTGGGTGGGACTTGACCCGGCGCACGTACGTTTCCCCGCACCGCATCCAACGTACGCCTTGTCTCTTTTCTGGCATCCCGCCGGCGCCTTCCCTTTTTGGGAGCACGAGCCAGCACCGTGGGCCAAGATTCCCCCGTCGCGAAGCCGGCGCGAAAGCACGTACGTAGACGTCAATCTATCCAATCCAAGCGCGTCCCGGTGAGTGGTGAGCAAGGAAGGAAGCGAGGGAGAGAGACGGCCGCCGATGGCGACGCGCTCCTCGGCGAGTCCTGGCCCCGCAGACGTCTGCCCCGACGTGGAGCGCACGTGACCGGCGGCCAACCACCTGGCTGCTAGCCCCTCGTACGTCGCCTTCCTCTTTCCCGTCTCTCCAGGCCGTATATATAGAGCCGCACACACCCGACCCAAACACAACAGCATCACAAGCTCGCAACAACAGGAACAGCCAGCCACCTGCGCTTCTACACCTTCCGGCGATCATATATTTCCCGGCCGCAGTCTACACCTTCTCGCCGGTTGGTTTGGTTCATCAGTAGTCGATCCATCACAGCTCGGCGGACCTCCATGACGAAGCACCAGAGAGCACCGGCGGACCAGCTCGTGTCCCTCTCCCTCTCGCTCTCGCTCTCCCTCGGCGCCATCGCCGACCGCAACACCAAGAGGACGCGCCGCGCCGCCGCCGCCGGTGGGGAGTTCGTGTGCAAGACGTGCGACCGGTCGTTCCCGACGTTCCAGGCGCTCGGCGGGCACCGCACCAGCCACCTGCGAGGCCGCCACGGGCTCGCGCTCGCCCTCGCCGGGACCGGGCCGGAGCCCAGGAAGGCCACGGACCAGAAGCAGGGGCACCAGTGCCACGTCTGCGGGCAAGCGTTCGAGATGGGCCAGGCGCTCGGCGGCCACATGCGCCGGCACCGCGAGCAGGAGGCCGCCGCCGCCGCGGTGGCGCAGGCGCCGCCCGTTCTGCTCGAGCTGTTCGTCTAGATTGGTGAATGGTTAATTAGAGTTCTACTAGGACAGAGTTCTTGATTAACATGTGTAGTGTACGTACGCGATTGGTTTGTACGTTTCTACACGCAGACACACTCGTAGCTAGCTATTGATCGTTGGTTCATTCATTCGTCTACTTTTGTACTACACATATTGGTGACTTGTTCATTCATTCATTGGTACGGAGATTATATATACACGTTAACTCATTTGCTCGTCTATTTTGTTCCAACTAGCCTCGTGTCCCGTTTTATCGGGAGGAACAAGTATGTTCTTTTTGTTCCATTTTTCTTTCCACTTTATTGATTTTTTTTATATCTTGTGTGCTGACTGGGATGCCACTGTTGTAAAACCGTTGCCGCGTCAATGTCAAATGCACTTAGTGGGGGCAGAAGGCAAATCTTCATAGTTTGAGATTCTAGTGTTTCTTACAGGGTGACTCCAGATAGTCTTCGACAAGGGAGCAAAGGCCCTCTACCGAGGACAGCCATTGAAGGCTAGACTTAGGATTTTCACTCCAGAGCTCGATGCTTGGTACTCAAAGAGCACCGTCAAAAATGAAGCCCACAGAGTTGCCACCACTTGCCAGGAAGAAGTCTTGCTCCAATGCCCGTCAAACTTTCGAACAATGATGAAACCTACACGTTGGGGAGTTATAAAGAAGCTAGATGTATCTACGCTAATATGTAGAGGACAACGGATACCCGTTAGCGTTCATCCCTCGCGCTGGTAGAAAGCAAAGGGTAGACTGTCATGCGGGACCACATGGCCACGTCGCATGTGCCACCTCTAGTGGCCTCTTTCGCCAAGTTTTCATGGCCTCCAACTCAATCGGTCGCATGGCTGTCGGTGTCTGTGCCGAAGGGATCACGAAGAAGAAGACATTTACATCATAGGGAATGTCGGTTCTCAGCGGATCATGCCCCCATCCACTCCTCTGCTGCACCTTGAGGTGGGAGCCACCGCCGCCATATGTCCCCTATAACAAGGACACGATATAGGCTCTCGATCACGTTGAGGGCAGACCAGAACCTCGGCCCCAGCCATTGCAGACTAGGAAAAGGTCAAATGATCCACCACCACCACTACACTGGCCTTGCAGCCATGGCGACATGACAACCACCACCTGGCATTGGGGGGGGGGGGATTCCTCCATGGAGTTCGGGCTTCGTTGGAGTGCACGTCGTCTAGTGCCGCCGCCTCTCCCCAGTCGAAGGGCTGCCCCCGACGAGGTCACGAGCCCACCGCCGCCATCGATCTAGCTGACTTCTTTTGACGGCGGCGAGATAGGTAGGAGGGAATGGGGAGGGGGCTAGCGGTTACCACTGAGCCGCACCCCTAGGAGTGGCGTGGGCATTTTATTGTCTCTACTATGTATGTAAGTAGTGAGCAAACAGATGAAGTCTCTTTTAGGAAATAGTGTGACTAGATCTCAATCGACTAAGACTTAACGAAGTCTCAATCAAGTGAAGAACATATAACGTGATTGGGTGAACTAAGTGCTTTCCTCAAACAAAAAATATATCCTAGATTGGAGGACTGCAACTATACCATATATAGCCTAGGTACAACTGTACAAAAATAAACGAAGTAAATGTTTTTAATCATATCTAAATGAGATCTGATTTGGTTCTGGCCTTGTACATCAGGTGTACATTAAATGGGTATCAATCTCTTTCCTTACAACAACAGATTCTAAGATCTTCTAAGCAAGGTAATTACACCGCATCATCTGCTGCTACTACATGCATCAGCATCTATTAACTTCCTCTGGTTCGTTTTCCTATAAATAGCCAGCTAGAAGCCCCATAGGCGATGTAATAGAACAAGAGTCAATTACACCACTGGTGTCATAACTTGGCACGAAAGATCAGTTTAGTGTTTAAACTTGCAGCATACATTGAACTGGTGCCACAACTTGATTTTGATGTGCATATACGGTGCAAATCATGTTTCTATACGAACATAATACTGATTAGGCACGCCGATGTTGCATCGGGCCCGCTGTCAGCGACTAGACAGCAAAGTGGAAGCGTGGCCTGCTATTTTTTTTAAAGAAAATAAGGACCTTGAAATTTTTTTCTCACGAAATATACTATGCCACGGCCGCAAGGGTCCATTTGTCAGCCGTGCACAAAAAAATAAAAAATTGGCACGGACGAGGAGTCAAAAAGCTAACATGTACTTAACAGCAGCGCAAAGCAGACCACCTGACCATCAGGCATTTTATGTATTAAGTGGGTACTGCTGCTATATATTCTTTGACTATTAAGCGGGC